GATCCGTTGGTCCATACGGTGTGAGTTGATTTAAACGAGGCGGCTCAGTATCATCAATGAAACACACTTCTCTTTCTTGTGTCTTGTCTCTCTAAAGTATTTTTCTTTATAAAGTCTGTACCTTTGCTTTGCCTGCTTGTTGTATTGTACTAATGGTTTCAGAGTTTGGGTTCTTGTGATGTTTTTGCAGAGATTATGCATTTAGTTACCGGACCAAGAACATCAAGAAAAGTTGGCCTTTTTCTTCAACAAGTTTGCAAGTTTGTTTGAGACATGGCTTAACTGATCCATTGCCACCGATTCAGCCTCTTGGCTCTGTGATAAGCCATCTTCCTGAAGCTTTGTCATTGAAGAAGCCAAACACAACTCATGTCGAAGAAGCCATAAGTTACGAGAGAAATTCAGAGAAACTTCTTGGCTCCAATCAGACTGAAGAAGGCTTTGAGAATGTCTTGTTGGCAACGAACACAAATGGTTCGAAATCCAAAATACAAGTAGCTACCGTTAACAAGAATCCAAGAAAAAAGATTGGGTTAAAAATGAAACCTGGAGCCTGTGTGGATAGTGGATCATCAAAAGAAGATCATAGTTGCCTCTTTTCGGTTTCTGATTCTGTGGCTTTGAGAACTTGTCCCATCTGCAAAACCTTCTCGTCTGCTTCTAACACCACTTTAAATGCGCACATCGATCACTGTTTGTCTATTGGCTCGGTACAGCACCCAACTAGTAAGCCAAACAGGCCTAGGATTAAGTCACGGTTGAAAGTTAAATCGCTGACTGATATTTACGCCGCTGCAAAAGGATGCACATTGGAAGATCTTGACAAAAGAAATGGAACAAAGTGGGCTATGATTTCGAGCTACTCTAACCGAGCTGTCTCTGATAATAAACCTGACGTGTCTAACAAAGGAAAGAAGCGGTGCGTGTTGCGTGTTCTCGTTGATGAAGATGCTGCTGGCATTGGACCTGTTTACATTGATGCTAATGGCCAAAAGCTGCGGATTTTATCAGAGTTTAGCGAGAAAACTTCTGTTCCACTGAGAGAGCATGAAGATTTCAGTGAGAAGAAATCCTCTTGCCAAGATAAAAGGATCAAAAGCTTTAGGAAAGGACTTCGGGGAAAGAAATGTTACAAGTATCGTAAACTAGCTCCTCACAGCAGGAAATACACTGTTCGTAAAGGCAATGCTTTAAAGGTATGCCTCTCGTTGCATATTCGTTCTTGATGTGGTACTTTTGTAGCTAGTTTTTTTTAAAGTAACAGAAGGTTATTTAACAAATCACTTGTGTAGCAGATACCAGAGTCTCGAAGAGGATATTCTGAAGAAGCTAGAGGCGTGGAGAGGTCAGAAACTCCAAGTCCAGATAAGCGAAGAATTTATAACCAGCGGATGCAAACAAAGAATGGGAATAAGAGAGAGACAAAAAGTCGTGTTTTATGGGATCATCCATCTGAGAATGGACATTCAGTGACAGGAGATCCTCTTGTGTTAAGAGGTCCAAGTCATGTGAGTACTGATTCGTCCGATACAAATTCTTCTCCTTTAAACAGTCATAACTCATGGAGCATTGGTGGGGAGAGCCAAGTCTCTGGAAAGAGCTGGGCTTTGTCTAGGAGGAAAACCAGTAAAAGTGCATCATTTGTAGCAAATCCCTTGAGATGTTCGATACCTGCTGATAAGGTGTTTGCATCCGCGGCGAAAGGCGTTATGAAGTTGAAGAAAGCTCGGTTGGATTTCTCAGAGTACAAAGATGAAGATGAAGAAGATACAGAGAAATGGGAGTCTGAAATGACTCAAGAACGTAAACTTACAGATTATGATGATTGGGATGATATTGGAAAAACAGATACGGTCTTACTAAGCTCGAATCCTTCTATTAGTGGCGAAGACAATGATTATGTAAGCTATGAAGAGACTGGTAATAGCAAAGGAGATGATGATATGTTGGACAAAACTGATGATGCAGACACTGACTTTGAAAGCATAGTTTATGCACAAGCTGGTTCCGAAACTGCAGAACGAGGAAGCCCGTTCATGGAGGTTGATCCCATTCCTATTCCAGGTCCTCCCGGTTCGTTTTTACTGAGTCCTTGGGATATGGGAACTGATGCAACTGAAAATCATGGAAACTCTTCAGTAATCACAAGCCAAGTCCAATGCTCCCAAGATCAGCTTGATTTCACTGACAGAAATTTGTCCGAATCACCTGTTTCAGCAATATCAAATTTTGCAGCTCCCGAGACACGGGCATTGGTCAGTCTTGATAACATATACTCCATTGACAAGAGACCTTCCAGATCGAAGGAAAATGATCAATCATGTTTTGAAGATACCACATTTGTGCAACCACCATCACACATTATCCAACAAGATCTGGAACTCTTGAGTAAGTCTATGCCCGCGATTTCTTCAAATTCAAACCCCGTGTTGCGGCTAATGGGAAAGGATTTGATGGTTATTAACCAAAGAGAAGAGCCTTCACTTGGCGGATCAAGTCTAACACCAACCTCTCCGTTTCTAGATCTCTCTATGACACAACAACTTTCTCCTCCTGTTCATCTTCATCATCGTCCTTATGGCAAAAAATGTTTGTATTTCGACACCAACACAAGCTTCTACAACATTCCATGAGAATTCAGATCAAGAACTCAAGACGTTTCTCCAAGCTTCTACATTCGATGACAATTCAAATTAAAGTCCTAGGCTTGAGATCTTAAGAAGCTTTCTCTTCATCATTCAACTTCAAGATTTCAAGTTCCTCTATGATAAAGAAGTTGGGAATCCCAAGTGGTTGCTTTGAAGAAATGGTGAGAGAGATTTTCATAGGATATAGTATTGAGAACTCTACTAAGGTAATGGCCCACGCTTTTGTTTCAAAGGGGTAAAAGATAAATATATGAAAGTTATGAAAACGAATTTTAATTAAACTATTATAATTAAGTGGGTCATATATCCTTCTCTCTC